GAGTGCGCCTCGCCGCTGATTTATCGGTGTGCACGCTCGCGGACTCGAAGCCCTCGACGCCGTCCGTGGACGCCACGGACTACTCGAGGCTGTCGAACACGCCGGGATCAGGAAACGTGAAAAATGTGGTCGCAAGGCGGGCAGCGCGGGTATCTCGGAGGGCTAGCAGCATCGTTATCGAGAGACGGAAATCTGGTGGCGGCTACCCCAGTGTACCCGCCCACACGGCAGCCTGGCGAGCCGGGCGGTGCGCAGTGGGCCAGAGGACCGGTGCAGGCGGGCGAAACTCTAGAGGCGTTTTGAGCTCCAGAGTCGCTAAACAGGATTCGAACCGAACGTGTGACCCCACCAATGGATTGCTCTCTTAACGAGGAATCCGTTGGTGGGGTCACACGTTCGATTGGAGGCCTGCTTAGCGACTCTGGAGCTCAAAACGCGTCCGGGATTTCGACCGCGTCCACCGGTCTTCTGGCCCACTGTGAGGAAGCGCCCCAACTACCAGCGATACACTGTAGTCCGGCCGGCGCCACCCCTCCGGCCTCGGCCTTACATCTTGTTAACGCGGAATTTCTTTTCCTCCCTCTTCATTGTTCCAATTAATGCCCACAAGGCCCCACCACGACCACCCCTTTTCTGGCGTATTGGGCTCCGGAACGATCGCAGCAATAATGCCTCTTGGCTTGAATCTGCCCTGTCCTTAGAGCTCTCGAGCGGCCCGCAGGCCCCACAGGGGGTGCAGTGGAAGGGGGGCGGAGGGGCCGGAGGGGGCAGCCACCGGTTGGGAGCGAATAATTAGAGGGATCATACTGGGTCTGCCCCTTCGGACCCCGGGCCCCTCTGGGCCTTCTGGGCCGCTCCGTCCGGACTGGCGGTCCTCGGGCAGCCCTTGCGTTGCCCTACGGCGCAGGCCTGGCGCGGGCCTGGCGCAGCCCCCCGGGGGTCCGGTTCAATCTGAACGAGGAAGTGCATCAATGGTTGGCGGGCAAGTACATATAGGACTTGCGCACTGTGAGAAAAAAGTACGGAAAAAGTACGGAACATGTCTGGTCAATAATTTGCCTGGACCGTCCGTACTTGCCAACTACGGAACGTTCCGTACTTTTTAGCAGATGATACCTTCACACTTGAAACATACTTAAAACTACTATACACAAATGAAGGTGTCAGCGTGCTTTTACTCTCGTTTTCCGTACCCATTTACATGGGTTCATATGGAGCAAGTACGGAACGTTCCGTACTTTTCTCCGTACCTCCGTACTTTATTTTTCTGTACCTTTTCCGTACAAAAGTACGGAATTTTTTACAGTGCGGTAAGCCTTTCTCCGCCCTCTTGACGCACCCATTGGCTTGGTTGGTCATCACCAGAGCGGCAGCAAGTGTCGAACAACTTAGCAAAAATAAAAAATTCTAAAAAAAAAATTCGTTAGACTTTTGATGTTCATGTTTCGTAAAGGGTGACAATCCTTCAGGGTATCTAATATTTAAATTCAGCCGAGGTTTAAATTCAATTTTTACACTTGTCATCATAACGTGCACGTTGTTACTATGTGATAGGGCGTTTTCATCTCGCACAACACAAAATTCCGCATTTTTTTTAAATTACTTTTTACAGTGCGGAGGAGCCGGAAGCACCTCCCCGATGTCTGGGATGGAGTCGCCCCGGGCAGCCGAGCGCGCCGAGCCGAGCGTGTAAACTTTCCCCTTTTCCGTTCTCGCGCCACGCCAGCCTAATTGGCCGTTGTGTCGCGTGGCCCCGCTCTGATATCGCAGCTGAAATTTAATCTTTTTGTCGCGCGCCGCGCTGCCGTCGGCTCGACTGGGTGGGAGAGAGAGAGAGAGAGAGAGAGAGAGAGAGAGAGAGAGAGAGAGAGAGAGAGAGAGAGAGAGAGAGACCCTTCCTCATCCTCTCTCCTGCTCTGCCCAGGTCTCTGACACGCCTGACGTGAGGATTTTTCAGAAGGAAAACTAACTTTAAAATTTTGGTGAAAGTTTTAGAGTTGTCTTTTAAGACGAGTTCTGTTTTCAATCAATTTTTTTAAGCAGCGAAAAATTTAAATTTTAAGACTTGATGGCACCACATACCTGCTAATGTTTTAACCGCAAAGTTTTCTCAAAATTGAGTGCGTCGCACAGGCTATTTTATTAGCAGTACTACCTTTCATTTAAATTTCACACTCACGCAACGACACTGGGAGAAGAAATTTTTTTAACTATTTTTTTATTTCGACCCGCATCCAGCCCGAGTCTGCAGACTTAAACTGCGTTAATGGGTTAAGAGTGCAGTGGGACTGGCGGTGGAAGGTGCGCGCCACGGCGGGATGATGCGAAGGGGAGGGGCTAAGTGATGAGAGAGGGGGGGGCGGTCCGTGGGCCCACCTAACAGCGAGGAATGCCGTAATGATGTTAACACCTCGCTACGCCGCGCTACGCCGCGCCTGCATACATTAAGGGTGCGGTGCCTGCCCGGCTACTCGCCCTGCCCGTCTTTCTTCTTCTTCTTCTTCTTCTTCTTCTTCTTCTTCTTCTTCTTCTTCTTCTTCTTCTCTCCTCCTAGTCGCTCCGCCTGACGTGGGTGCATCGGGGTGGCCTAAGCGAGGTGGCAGGGGCTTGCTGCCTCGGTCACTGCCTCCGCTTGCAGCCTCTGCAATTAGGGTCATTTCCAACGATGAAGTAGTTAAAAGAAACACGGAGACGCGACACGGAGAAACGGCTGCGCTTCTGCCGGGCTATAGGAGGGGGATCTGAAAAGTTTAATTTGGTTGGTGGGGGGGGGGGGCGTAGTGGAGAGCGGACTGGTGTGGCGTCCGGTCCAGCGCGAGTGGATTGCGTGCGGGCAGGTGTCCGCCCTGCGACAACGTTGTCACAAACTTTCTGCCCCGGACCCGCCCGGATCATCTAGTTTCCTCAAAAATTCTTCTTCTTTTTTGTCATATTGAAACATTTTACATGGCTGTTTTTTTTACGGTAGGTTTCTAAATTTTTGTTTCTTTTTTTTTTAAAAAACTTTTTTACACTTTTTTACCTTTTTTAAAAAATTTAAAATTTTTTTTTTTGTTCAAGTTTTATTACTTCATTTTTAAGTTGTTTTTTTTTTCACCTTTTAACTTCTTTCTACCTTTTTTTTCACTTCTTGACACATTTTACATATTTTGTTTATTTTTGTAACACCTGCCCGGCAGCACCCCCCTTTTTTGTGTCCCATTTCTGGGCCTGCCGAGGCTGGAGGGCCGTGGAGCGGCCAGTCGTAGGGAAAGAGAGGAGCAAGAAGGCGCGGCTCGTCTGGAAAAGAGAAGAAAAATTAGGGGAAGGAAATGGTTTCGGGGAGGGAAGAGAAATTCAGTTAGCGGCAGTGCGTCGCCGCTCGCTCTCTCGCTCTCGCGTTCCGCGCCCGCTGCAGACTGAGAGTCGTTTTCGTCGCTCTGTCTCTCTCGCGGTCGTGGGGCTTCGCGTGTAGGTGCGAGAGAGGCAGAGCGACGCCCGCAGGTCCTCGCCCCGCGAGGCTCCACGCTCCGCGCGGCGATGAGGTCTGAGTCCGTCTAAGCGGCCGGGCCGGGCAGCCAGAAGGTGACACCGCAATAAACGGGAGACGTGTTTCTTTTGTTTTCATTCCCGGAACACAAGCCGAGTCTTTGCCGAAGGGATTCCGTTGGCAAATCTGCCCCGTCGCCGGAGTGGCGCGGTATTAAGAGGACTTTAGCGCGCTGCCGCGCACGCTAGCGCGCTGCCTTCACGGCAGATGGCGCCGTGCCAGATGCCTGCCAGATGGCTGCCCTTTTTCAGACGGAGTCCGTATTGCGGTGGGCGGCACCAAGGCAGCCGCCCCTAGATTGAGATTCGTATTTCGCCGCCCCTGGCCGCCCCCCTCGCGGGCGATACACTAAGCCAGGTAACTTTGGGCCATGCTTTACCTTGGCCGCGTTTCAATTATCGGCCGGCATAAACCTCAGCGTACTCTGTTCGGGGCGAAGCGCTAGAAGTCGGCGAGGCGCACGAGTGGATTTGCTATAAGACCGGCGGAGGCGGTCGAAATCCCGGACGCGTTTTGAGCTCCCGAGTCGGTATATGAGGCTCGAACAGGACGTGTGACCCCACCAATGGATTGCTCTCCGAACGAGGAATCCATTGGTGGGGTCACACGCTTGATTCGAGGCCTGTTTGGTGACTCTCGATCTTAAAACGCGTGTTGAGTTTTGGCCGATCTGGCCCGCTGTGCACGCTGTGCAGTGTACTGCACGATACGATGTGGAAACAGTCCCGATGAGAGCGCTCCGGCAAAATGAAGGGGAAGTCGGCGACTGCTGCTCGTCGCGTCCTCGCTCGTGAGGAGAGAGAGAAAAGAATGAAATGGAACCGAATGAAACGTGAGTTCGCCAGCAGCTGGTTGATTTTAAATTATTTTCCACGGCGTGTCGCCGCACCGCGCCGCGGGGACGCCGAAGTTAGGCCGGGCGGGCTGTGCTGCGCGGCGCTGCGTCCCCGCCAAGTCGTTCCCGCTGATGACGGCGCCGGAGACAAAAGATGGAGTTCGGCGCACTGTCTCTGCACGTGAGGATTCGGCAGAGTGTTAACGAGGGAATGAATGTCGAAGACGTGACGACACTGCCAACCCGGACGGACACACTGCCAGGCACAACTTGCCTCACCGGGTCACGCAGACCGGCACACACACCAACACACTGGCGCATCAGCGGCGGCGCACAGTAGGCCAGAAGACCGGCGCTGGCGGCCGAAACTCCAGACGCGTTTTGAGCTCCAGAGTCGCTAAACAGGACTCGAACCGAGAGGGCGACCCCACCAATGGATTTCTCGTCCGGAGAGCGATCCATTGGTGGGGTCACACGCTTGGTTCGAGCCCCATTCAGTGACTCTGGAGCTGAAAACGCGTCCGGGATTTTGACCGCCTCCTCTGGTCTTCTGACCCACTGTGCGACGGCGCAGGCCTGAGAAAACACCCGCGAAAATAATGTGCCCGTTTCAAAAATGTTGTTCCCCTGCCGTAGGTCTGCCGCTGCAATGTGGTCCCCGGGCCCCGACCCGGGCCCCGGACCCGGCTCTGGCTTCAGTCTGGCGCACATCCTCCCTCGTCACCAGCGGCCCATCACCGTCATGGTGTTGTTGGTGTGCCTGACGACCAGGGGCGGAGGCCTGCCCCCCATCATTAACATCGGTAAGTTAGGCCCCGTCACGACATACGTCACGTCATCACAATTGTATTTCCGCGTTTCGAGGCCCTTTTCGTGATGCGGTGCGGGCTGCCTGTCCGTCGGCGAGGCGCTTGGAGGACGTGAAGGTCGTCTGGCTGCACGACCTCGCTGACGAGCACGGCGTCAAGAGAAACCAAGGCACACACCACCGCGCGGTCTCCATTATTTTTGGCGCCGCGTCGCCTTGTCCGCGGCCACTCCTTTGAGCCCCCGGGCCTCGGCCGGGGACAGTCAGTCGGAGAGCCGCTTCTTTTTACGAGAAGCAAAGGCGGCGGTAATATTCGAAACAGAGGCGGGGGCGGACTGGGACGGCGCGACCCCGGAAGCGATCCTTATTTATGGCCATGGCCGTTCAGCCGGGCGTAGCGGCGCGTGAAGCGACTCGCCTGATTTTAACGACCGTGTTCGACATCAAGTGCCCCGATGGCGTCCTGGCCGTCCTGGCGGGCCGATCCCCGTGACGTCACGCCCTAAGGGAGTCACGCCCGCGGCCGCAGCGCCGCACTTAAACGGCTGTTTAACGCCGGGCGGAAAATGGCGAATGCAGTGTAGGTGCGCTCTCCACTGTGTGCCAGCGCCAGGGGAACAGTTCGGGTAGATATGACCATCCGCGCACTTTGATGGACTCGAATCCAACACTTGACCCCACCAATGGATTTCTCGTTCGAAGAGCAATCCATTGGTGGGGTCGTATGTTGGATTCGAGTGTCTCAAGTGAATCCATTGGTGGGGTCTTCAGTTGGATTCAACGATTCATTTGAATTGAAATCGAATCCAACTCAAGACCCCACCGATGCATTCCTCGTTCGAAGAGCAAGCCATTGGTGGGGTCATGTGTCGGATTCGAGTGTTTGAATCGAACTGGAATGGACCATTGGGCAGTGTAGACCCGAAAACGTTGTGCCCCATTCCCACCCCAAACTGGCCTTCACTGCTCGGCCTTGGCCGAGGCAATTACCAATCGCAGCAGCCAGCCGCGCAGCCAGCGGCGTGGCGTCTGTTTATTTAAAGCAGAGGCAAGTTTCGCACACGGCTCATCTTTCGAACTAATTTGCCTTTGTATGACTTTGTTCTGCGAATACAAGAAAGTGGTTTGCGCGCCGCGCTCGGGCTTCGGGAGGAAATTGGCAAACGGGATGAAGGAAATGAGGGACGAGGAGAGAGAGGGAAAGACAGAGAGGGGGAAAAACAAAAGAACCCACTTGCCATTTCCGCGGTGGAGGCGCGGTCAGCCCTAACCTCTTTTTAGCCTCAGCAGTTTTCCGCAAGCCCTGTTTGGTGTGGATTGAAGAGGACCGCGGCGGTGGGAGGGATTCCAAGGGAGACAGTTGGAGGGGGCGATAGTGGGGGAGGGGGCGGGGGTGTTTGCGTCTCGCCCTTGGTAATTCATGGCTAGGCTCTGTCATAAAAGCTGGGGGTCGCTGATCCAAGAAGTACGCGCCACAGATAGGAGGCTACACTTGTCTCCGTCTGTGTGGCGTCCGTGGCGTTCGGACCGTCGCGGCTGTCCTCTGCCTGTCCTACAGCAGCACCAGCGGCTCAACAATAGCAGTAGCAGCAGCATCAACAGCAGTAGCATCAACAGCAGCAGCATCAGCAGCAGCAGCATCAGCAGCAGCAGCATCAGCAGCAGCAGCATCAGCAGCAACCGCAGCAACAGCAACAGCAGCAGCATCAGCAGCAACATCAGCAGCAGCAACAGCAACAGCAGCAGCAGCAACAGCAGCATCAGCAGCAGCAGCAGCAGCATCAGCAGCAACATCAGCAGCAGCAACAGCAACAGCAGCAGCATCAGCAGCAACAGCAGCAGCAGCAACACCAGCAACAACAGCAACACCACCAGCAGCAACGGCATCAGTAGCGGCATCAGCAGTGGCAGCAGCAGCAGGGGGCTTTTGCTGCCGTCCTCCGTGTCAATTAAGACTGAATTAAAAGTCTTTCTGTCCGACCTGGCCTCGCCCCGCCGCGCCACCCCGCCTCCTCCACCAGTCCACGACCGTCCACGACGGCCCCCCGTGAAGCGGGCCCCTCGACGCGCGCCCTTTTTGGCGGAATTAGAAAAAGAAAACTCGAAAAGAAAACTCGCCCCGCCTTGATAAAGGCAGTTACTGTAGTAATAATCATGCCATCGCGGCGGTCCGAGGGCCGGTCCCGAACCGGGAGAAGGCTGTGGAGGTCAAGGTAGTAAATAGGCATAGATTCAACGAGGGCTTGTTCGCCACGCCTTCGGTCTGCAAGAGAATTTGTCGAAAAGGGTACTTGACAGAGCCGCGTAAAGAAAGAGGTAAAAAGTACCAACTTAAGAAACTAAAAAAAATTCGACGTGCTTCATGCACCGGTGGCTGTTAAAATTTTAAGCACGGAGGGAATCTTGAAATTTTGTTTTACAATCTGAGGCAAAGGCAAAAGTTACACTTTTCCTAACGGCCGCGCACCGTTTGGGAGAAAGGTTGGATTATTTTTCGTTAAGTTGGCACCCCCTGCTGCTCCGGTCTGCGCGGTCTGCTCCGCTACTGCTGACGGGGCCAGCGCTGCAAAGTGTCCACATGTTTCACGGAGCACCCTGCCGCCCTGCCGGCCGGCCCCGGTCGCACCGTCCCACTCTCGGCGGCGGCGGGGCTCGGTCGCCCGGCCCCGGTCCCGCACAGTGGGCCAGAAGACCTGTGGACGCAGCCAAAACTCTATACGCATTTTGAGCTCCAGAGTCGCTAAACAGGGCTCGAACCGAACGTGTGACCCCACCAATAGATTCCTCGTTCGGAGAGCAATCCATTGGGGGGGGGGTCACACGTCAAGTCCCATTTAGCGACTCTGGAGCTCAAAACGCGTCTCGAGTTTTGGCCGCCTCCACCGGTCTTCTGGCCCACTGTGTCCCGGCCTCGGTGCGGCGGCAGCGGCGGCAGGGCCCTGCAGGGGTGGCCGCGTCCCGCCGCGTCCCCGTTCGATTCCCGGCCGCAGCCGCGCTTAATTCAGCGCCCAGGGCGGGCGCAGGGCGGGCCGGGCCGAGGGCCGAGGTAGTTGCTGGGGTACTTTATCGTGGTGGCCAAAACTTTGCTGGCCTCTGCCGCCGCCGCCGGTCCCCCCCGGCCTCGGCGTCCTCGGCGGCCACGTCCGCCGCCTTTATTTCACTGTTAGCGACTTGGGTGTAAATAGCGTCATATATCTGGCGGCAAGCGGCGTCCGTCTTGCGAAGCGCGACAAGCCTGCGAAGCCCGCGAAGCTGCGGCGACGGCTACCTGGTGCGACCTGGTCGCTGTCCGGCGTGACACTCACCCCTACTACCTTTGAGCCAATTCAAACCCCCCCCCCCCCGGCCGGCCTGCAGCACACGCTGACGGGGCTTAGGGCCTAGCGATGATGTGTAGCCCCGGGCCGTGCCTCGCCGTGCCGCTGCACCCTCCCCCCCCCTCCCCCCCCCCACCTCCGCCCCTGACTTCGTTTACCGCGGACGGCAACTGGGTTAGGTGCTGCCGATTGAAACGCAAACGGAATACAAGCGCGGCAATCACCCCCCTCCCCCCTGTGTGTGTGTGTGGGGGGGGGGGGGGTCGGTCTCAACTCACTTTCGGTCCTCGACAAAATGAGTGCCGGAGGATGTTTCGGTCTAGACTGCCCCGGTCGATGAGCGCGCGGGTCGTTCAAAAAGACGACACGCGTTCTGGCGCCGGGGGTCGGGAGTCTGGAGCGAGCAAGGGTGGCGCGCCCTGCTGCGGCACTGCCGCTCCGCACTGCACCGCTAATTGGAGAGCCAATCAAAGAACCGCAAGCGCGCGCAAGCCGATGCGTGCGGTGTGCGCGTTTATCGTGGGGCGCGGGGCCGGTCGGCCGGAATCAGGAGCCGGAGCGAATAAGGGGCCCGGGGGGGGGGAGAGGCCACGGCTGGGCACGCTCATAAATTGTGCCCTCTCCGCGCTGTGCGCCCTGTGCGCGCTGCTGACTGGTGTCGGTCAGAGATGTGCAGGGTGCGCACTGGCAAATCGAGTTAGGGGCCACTTTGGTGACGTCGGCCGTGCGCGGCACGCAGTGGCACGCCAGCACGGTCGTGAGGTCGGCGAGAGGGGGGCCGGGCACTCCGCGGCACGGAGGCTGCCTCACCTTGGCTGCCTCACCTTGGCGGGCAGAGACGCGAGCGCGCGCGTGCGTCTACCCCCGCAGAGGCTGTAACAACACGTCATGCACAGAGCCGTTACAACCTGCCTATATCCCACTCGGGCACACATGCCTACACACACGCACAGTAGCCTTTTGCCCCTGGCCCCATTCCTTCGCTCCGGTAGACCTTTGGCGCCGCATCGCCTGCTCGCCGCGCGGCCCACCAGGCTGCCCCCCCTCTCCCCTCCACCCTTGATTCCCCCCCCCCCCTCCTGTTTCCCTCGCTCTGGACGCGCGCGGGCGGGGATCTCCCGAAGAGTCGGTCGGTAGGCCGGAGAAAAAGTGGAAAGGACAACCCCCCCGCCTCGCTCCGCCTCCACGGGCCGGCGCGGCCGCCGTCACACACACACGAGGAGGCACGCGAGTCCGGCTGGAAGATTTATCTCTTTGTTTACAGCGATTGGTGGCTGGAGGAGTGTATTGCAGCAGCGGCGGGGCGGGGCGGGGCGGGGCGGGGCCCCATCGCTATCGGCACCGCGCCATCGCGGCATCGCGGTCGTGGAGGAGGTGTCCCCCCCGGCGGTGTCCCCCCGGTGGTGTTCGGTTCGCTGGCATTGCTGGCATGCAAGTGAGTGGAACGGAGCTGTCAGCTGTCGGGGTGGGCGGGGGGGGTTCGGGACGCCTTGCGGGACGCGGCCAAGGACGTCCAAGGTCGTGGTCGTCATCCCTCGGGCCCTTGGGGTCCTTCGGCCCTTCGGCCCTTCGGCCGCGGCATCATTCAAAGTGATCGGACGCGGCCAAGGCGGGCCGAGGCGCCTCGAACCGCGATACATGCATATGCGAGGAGAGCGGACTTGGCGGCGCCTCGCCA